GCCCACGCCCCCCCTCCCGGGCCCTGGCAGCGGCCGCCCAGACAGCCCGGGTGGGCCCGGTGCCCTCGCCCGCAGGCTCTGAGACTTCTGGCTTTGCGACCCTGGGCGGGGCCCTCACTGCGCAGGCACCACCCACGCCCCACGGTCACCAGGCGTGTCCGGAGGCGGGACACGGGCGCCCCGCTTTCCGGCTGCCCCAGCCACGCAGGCAGCTGGACTCGCGAGCGCCGACGCCGCGACGACTCACTGAGGAGCCAGGTCTGCCCGGGAGAGTGTGGGCACCCCAGTCTTTCCAGGGCATCCGTGCCCACTGGACTCACCCCGGGAACAGTCTCGACTGCGCCATAGCGCCGTAAAGGGGGCTCCTCTTGCCAAGTGCGGGGTGAGGCATGCAAGGCCCTCGCCACCCAGCCTCACCTGCTCTGCCGCAGCAGTGGTCCACAGCTCCGTCCGGGCACACCCAGAAAGGAGGGGCCAGGTGCTGGGCCCGACCCAGGACCCCTCTGTCCTGCCAGGCCCTGTCCACTCCGCTCTGGGGCTGGGAGTGACCCGCCCCCACTGGGGCCACGTGGAGAGAATGAGTGGGGTGTCCTGTGTGGAGGCGGCCCGCAGGGCCCCGTGCCCCCGTGTGCCAGCTAGGCCTGGGCCGGCAGCGGCAAGCCCAGAGGTGCTCAGCTGGCCTCTGGCTTCGCTCCCGGCAGGCCCGCGGTGCTGGGGGAGCTGCCCTCTGTGCCACAGAGGGCCCTGGGACTCCCTGGGACTGCGGACGCTGTCCCCCAGGCGAGCTGGGAGGCAGGGCCTGGGCCGAGTGAGGAGCGGGGGAGCGGGACCCCCAGAGTCCTGCACCCTGGATGCCCCCAGCAGTCCCAGGGCGCCGCGGCCCCGGAAGGCGCTGCGTGGCTGGCCGAGGGCAGGCTGCCTCTCCTGAGCGGCCCGGCTCCCCGGCCACACCTGCCGCGGCCCCTGCGGAGGGCTCACCCACTGCTGACCCTCAGCTCACGGGGGCAGCCTGGCGGGGAGCCGCAGGACGGGAGAAAGCTGCGGCCCCTCCCCCAGTTCGGAACAGGAGAGTCCAGGGTGGACTGTGGCCGCTGGCGCAGGGAGGGCTCTGCCCAGGAGCGTGGGGGTCCGCAACAGCCCCGCTGCCCAGCCCGCTGGCCAGAGGGTGTCCCTCCTTCCTCGGGGCCCACGCAGGTGGCCGCGGCCTGGTCCCCTGGGACTGTGTGGGGGCCTGTTCTCCCCGGCCTCCGAGGTCACTGCCGCACCCGTCCGTCCGCCCGCCCGCCCGCGGCTCCCAGCACAGGACCGCCTGTGGCCACAGCCC